CTTAAAAGTGAAGGGAAATACTACACTTGGGAGAACTTGGAGCAGTAACTTGGTTGTTCATTTTGTCTGAAAAGTGAGATGGCTAGGTGTATGAGTCATACTGATTCATGGGCAGTGCCTGAATGGATGGATGGTCTGGAACCTGGAAGAAACATGATTGGAAAATTGATGACAAAGAGGTTGGGAGAAGGGGCATATGTGAATAGATTGAATGGGCAGAGGGTGAAGATATTTGTGTCTCACGTGATCCCCAAAAGCAATCTCATTAGAGGATAATCATAATAATCAGGTGGATGAATGATACATTTCATGTATGCCAGTCAGCCTTTTCCTCTATTTATCCCTGGCCCTGCCCAACAGACTCATGAACAAAGTGGCTATGATGACATGATCTGAGTGAGAGGTGGGCTCAGTGACATGGATTTCCACTTAGCAAGGCCATCTGGCTACAGCTATAGCTAAGTGCCCAACTTGAGAACCGTGGAGTCCAAGACCAAATTTCCATTTCCTAGAGGTATCAGCCATCCACGAGGTATATTGAATTGGGCTACTTTCATTACGAAAGGGCAGAACTTTTTTCTCACTGAATAAATAGATACTTCTTCTGGAGATGGATTTCCTTCCCTGCTTGCAATGCTTCTATCAAAACCATCATGTATGGACTCATGAAATGTTTTGGTCACCATTGTGTTATGCTACACAGCAATATTTTTAACCAAGAAACTCATTTTACAACTAATAAAGGCAATGGGTTCATGCTCATGTAATTAGCTGGTCTTATTATATTGCCCGTTACCCTGAAGTAGTTGTTTGATAGGATGATTGGCCTTTTTCTTTTCTTTTTCTTGTGACAAAAACTTACTGTTTTAACCATTCATGAGTGTACAATTCAATGGCAGTAAGGACATTTAAAATGTTGTGAGCCATCATCACTATGTAGTTCCAAAACTTTTCTATCAACCCAAAAGGAAACCCCATACCCATTAAGCAATTACTCCCCATTCCTTCCTCTCCTCAGTCCCTCGCAACTACTAACTGGCTTTTTATCTCTATGGTTTGACTCTTCTAGATAGTTTATATAAAGGAAATAAGATTATATGTAGCCTTTTGCATCTGGCTTCTTCACTTAGCATGTTTTCGAAGTTCACCCCTGTTGCAGCGTTGAAATAGCCTTTGGAAGACTCTATAATCCCTCCATCTGGGTTGTGATACTTTGTGTAGCTAGGATAATGTTCTCCACGTTTTGGCATGTGTTCTAAATCTAAGTATATATCCATGGTTCAGGAATCAAGGATTGGGAGTGGAAGTGGATCCTCTCACTTTTACCCCTAGTGAATCACATGCAAAATTTTGCTTCCAATTCCTGCAACTTTGGGTTCTGCTTGTCCAGAGGTCTTAGTTGCCAAAGAAGAATGTTTCCACCAGGGTACACAGCAAGAACTCAATCTGTAAATTGAGACTGCTACTTGGCCATTTGGGGATCCTTATGCTATTTAATCAACATGCAAAGAAGGGGGTAACTCTACTGTCTGGAATGATTGATCCTAACTGTTAAGCTGATCTTTAGTTGCTACTACATGGGAATGTGCCTGGAATGCAGGAGATTCTTTGGGGGTGCTTTTTAGTATTCCCATATTCTGTAATATGAGTTAATGGAAAAACACAACAACAACCCAGTATAAATAGAACCTCTAATCGTCTAGATATTTCAGGAATAAAAATTTAGGTTGCTCCATAAGTGAAGGAACCATTATCAGCTGAGATGCTTGGTGAAGGCAAAAGGAATATTTAAAAAGGTAATGGGAAGAAAAGAAAGTAGTTATAAATAGTAATTATGATTATGTTGCCAGTTGCAGATACAAGGACTATAATAGTTGTGAGCATTTCTCCCTCATTTTGATATGAATATATTCGTGTATATATTAACCAATTATTTGCTTTCCCCCCTCTCTCATTCTCCCATGATGTGTTAATAGTGGGTAACTTTATATCTTAGCATTTAAGTTACAGGATATTAGAGGGATAATATGACTCATCAAGAAGAGGGATGAACATCATTAAAAGATTCTATACTCTTTGGGGTAGGGGGGGAGCTGTTTTGGGTTGTATGAGAGATAGTTGCATCATATGGACATAGCATGATTTTACTATGGTCTTTATTTGAAAATTAAATATGATTAAAAGAAGTGTGTATGGATTTAAAGTTGACAAGAGTTCGGACTGGGGTAGTTCATACTAGCAACTTACCTAAGTAGGAACTATATTTCCCAGAGTTCTCTTTTTTTTTTTTAGGGTTTTGGTTGGCCACAAAAGAAATTTGCAAAAGATCTGAGAAGTGGAAGTGAGGTACCTAGCCATTGCATTTGGTAGGTTGATTAAGGAACCCAGGCACTGCTGCAGTTTGAACCTGACCTGCTGACTACTTTACTGGTCAGGGCACCAGGAGGACTGTAGCTCCTCTAGCTTCTCTGTGTCTTGGACAAGGTACATGCACAGCAAATCCTTCTCTCTCTCTCTCTCTCTCTCTCTCTCTCTCTCTCTATATATATATATATATATATATATATATATATATATATATATATATTCTGGTTCTGTGTTTCTGGATAATCCTAATATGCTCCCCAGTACAGTAAAGAACACTGAGAACAGTTGACATTCTGGTCTTGAGATACTGCATGGTGTGGTGGAAATGCATGGTTTTGAAATCACAGAACCGAGTTGAGTGGCACAGATGACTTGTGGTCTTGGAAACTGATTCCTCATCTGTAGAATTGATATCAAATTTTATATATGTGGCTATCGTGTGGGGTTAAGTTAAACATTGTATGTAAAATACCTGTTATAGCTCACAGTGGGTGCATAGCAAACGTTAGCTCTCTGCTGAAGGGAGATGCATTGTTAGTGCCCTCTTATTGAATTATTTAATGGAATGGAGTCTCTTAGATGTTATTAAATATGATATAGTTATTTGAAGCATATTGGTTTGATGTGACACCAATAGCACCTTCTGGGTGCTTACAGGTACAGAAAATTCAAACATTATTTGGTTAGTTCTGCCACTTATCTGAGTAAAATCTAGGACAAGTTACGTTTCTCTAAGTCCAGTTTCAACTTAGATACTGTTATCTCATGGAATTTTTGTTAGAATAAGAGTGTTTAGCTTAGTCCCAAGCATACGGCAGATGCTCAATATATCTACTAGATGCTGTGGGAGTAATTAGGGTTTCAAAAATGAGTTGGGTCAGTTGCATTTAGAGAGGTTACCACTAGGGAAGACAACATGCATGAAACCACAGTGGAAGTTACATTTCTTTTAATAGTAGAGAGCAGACAAATAGACAAATAACTATGTAGAACATTTTAAATGATGTAAAAGAAACAGATGCCATGGAAAGATGATAAAACGTCTTACAGACTTTTGATTTATGGAATCATGAGCATTTCATACCTGATGTCATCAATCATGGCTATGCAGAACTTTCAAAGATCTACCATCTTGCCAATGGCTAGTTATAACAGATAAGTGGAAGGGTGGGAGCCCTGAGAGCAGAACCAAATCAACAATTTTGCCAGCAAGAAAGAGCTTGTTCAGGCCCATGTCCCAGGGGCTGCTGGAATGCATTTGAAACAATGGTTTGCAAGTGAAGAGCTTTGATAGTTTGGGGGAGAAATTTGACAAAATGAACCTGCAGATGACATATTCAGCTTACAAACCAGGTCAAGAGATCTTTATCTGCTTTCTAAAAATCAAAGCCAACAAAGAAAAACACTTTTGGTAAAAGGTCATGCAGGCTTTTTCCTTTGTCTTCTCAGTATCATCCTTTCTCATTTTTTCCAGTGCATACTCTCACTTCTTTCAGTCTCGGTGTTTCCCCTCCACCCCTGGACCCCCCCCCCTCACTCCCGCCTTCTCGGTTCCCCTGTCCCCCCCTTCGCCCAGGACAGCCCTGGGGCCCGCACCTGCCCGGGGGAGCCCCAGCCGGGCCCGCCAGGGAACTGGCGGTGACGTAGCGGGGAGGACTGTGCCCGCGCGGCCCGCTGACGTCACTGCCGCAGCGGACCCCAGCGAAGCCCAAGAATGGGAATTGAAGGAGGGAAGCACAGCGGTGACCCCGCGGTTACGGCTGAGCGCTGCGAGTGCGCCGCGTGCTTCGGGCCTCTGGGGTCAGGAGGCCCGAATCTCGCCTGCAGCGCAGGCCGATCCCCACTGCACACCCTCAGCGCGCTCGACAGCAAGAGTTTAGCTAGAAGGAGAATGTCCCCAAGCGGTGGGGCCTCGTGCGCACGCGCCCTGGGTGGAGGGCAGATAGGGGACAGCTGGGGGGGCGGGCTGCGCGCTGATACAGGGCGTGGGGGCGGGTAGAGGACGGGTGGCGTGTGGCAGCAGAGGACAGGGACCCGGCTTAGAGTGCAGACCAGGAGGAAGGCAGTTGCCCCCCTCCGCCGCTAGCCCGTCTCCCTGGGCGCTGCGGAGGCGCGAGGCCTGCGGCGCGGCGTCGTGACGTCACGGTGGCGGCGGCCGTGGTTGGCGCACGGTCCGCGGCTGCAAAAGTGTGAATTACGCCCGGCTCGCGCCGGCGGCGGAGTGAAGTCAGGCTCCGGGGGAGGGGAGGGGCAGGACGGTGGCGGCGGCCCGAGCTGGTGGCTGGTCCCAAGCCCGCGCACCCCGGGTCTCGCCGCTGGCTCCGGCAGTCTTTCCTTGCACCGCTTTCTCCTGTCCTTGCTCCGCTCCTGCTCGGCTCTCCCCCGGCTCCTCCCGGCCGAGGAGCCCCGGGGCGGCAGGGCTCCCCCTCCGACTTTGCCTGTGCCGCCCCCGCTTGCACCCCGGAGCCCGGCGCGCGCCGGTCCTCGTAACTGTCGCCGCGGCCGCCGCAGCGTCTTCCCGCCGGCGGCCCGGGCGGAGTGCTGGGGCGGGGAAGGCGCGAGCGCGGCTTCCCGGCCCGGGGTCGGCGGCCGCCCGCCCTGCCCCCGCCTCGGCCCGGCGCCCCCGAGCCGCGGCCCCTTCCCAGCGCAGGGGCCGGCGGCCGCGGCCGGGCGGGCGCCGCGCGGGGGCAGGGCGGGCGTATTCAATGGAAGTATGTTACCAGCTGCCGGTGCTGCCCCTGGACAGGCCGGTCCCCCAGCACGTCCTCAGCCGCCGAGGAGCCATCAGCTTCAGCTCCAGCTCCGCGCTCTTCGGATGCCCCAATCCCCGGCAACTCTCACAGGTAAGCGCCGCCGCCGCCACGGACCCACACTCGGGGGCTTCTCTCTTTTGTTTCCCTCTTCCCATCCGGGTTCACCTCGGCGACACCCCCAGTCTCCTGGCTATTTACCTCAGACCCAGCATTGTTCGTTGTTTGGGGATTTCTAGGCTGGCCCCTGGATTCGAGAGCTTTTTCCTTTATTCTGGGGCTTTGCACACTCAGTCCCTCGGCCTTCTCCGAATCCCGCCCAACGCGGGTGGGCTTTGGGGGCCCTTCAGACCTGCGGCAGGCCCGCCCCCCTCCGTGCTCAGCGGGTTAAGCTTCAGGATGGACTGTTTTCCTCCCTCCGGAGGTCGGGCCCCTCTAACCCTAATTGTGGCCTCGGGCACACCTGTCCCCCCGCCCCCGGGCACACACCTGTGCGGCGTTTGCGCCTCGCCTCCCCGTGGCGTTCGGATGGTCCTGCGGTGCCCCGGACAATAGGCCAGTTCCCCGGAGCCCTCGGCGGCTCCGGCTGTTCCGTGGATGGACCTTTAAGTGCTTATCAAAGAAACAAGTATCGGGAGTGCTTCTCCGGAGCTTCGGTTTTCACAAAGTTGATAGCCTGGAATCAGTTCTTTTTTTCCTTTTTTTCTTTTTTTTTAATTTGATACGGAGATTTCAGGAGAAGAATTACTAATGAACACTCACGGGAAGACTTTGTTTTGAATGGTCCAATACCAGTTGCTCCTGAGAATTTCGGTGTTTTTTTTTTTTTTTTTTTTTCCTATGGTCATGCTGTTGGCCCAGCTCCTTAGTTCTGGGTGATTTCTGTTGCCAGCTTTAAAATAGGCAAAAAACAGTTTTGTTTACATTTGAACCAAGTCAAGTGCCCTCCGTATCTGCTGCCAGAATGTTATATGTTCATGATCAATTTTGAATTCAAATGCATTTGTTTTTCCTATTGGTTAGTATTAGTATCTTCTGTGAAGCATATTTTCCCTCTCCGGTTACGTTGTAAATACCTTGAGCCACGTCTATATACATATCTTTTTAAACCGGTAGTGTAGATAGCACCTGGTAGAGATTTTGCTCGTGATAGGTGTGTCCAGTAAACATTTGTCATTTGCTTCTTTGCCTAAATGGTAGAAAGAGCAAGAGACCATCTGGATTTCTCTCTGAATTGTTTTTATTTAAAATCAGGCTTATTTCACGGGACAAGATAGTTTGCTAATGAGGTTAGAGCCAACTTTTAAGGTTACTATATTAGTTTAAATAATACTCATTGTTATTTTGAAAGTTAGGTCCATGCTCTACCTTTATAGTACCCCTTAAATCATTTTCAGGCTCCAAAATTAATGTTGAAGAAAAATGTTAATGCATTGCTGGGAAAGGTTTTTAATGGTAGTAATTAAAGGTTCTTAACTGTAGTAACTTTTTTCACTTCCCAATATTATTTCACTTTCTCAGATCACAGGCCCATAACTAATACCTGTTTCCAGTTCAGTCTAAATAGTAAGGATGATCTTTTTATAAAAAGGTCTTTTATAAAATTATAAAATACAAATAAAGTTACTTATGCTCCCTGAGGAGAAAATGAATGAAAAAGAAGATTCCAAGAGCATTAAAACAAGGCTGATACGAGGGTTTTACCATTGTCTTAATTAATCCTCAGGGACCAATTTTAAGCCCTATTCCTTCTTGACTCATTTCCTAGCCTTAGGTTTAATGGGTAATGGAATTTTAAAAATATGATTGTGGCAGATAAGCAAATATTGAACAGTCACACCATATTTTATTAACTCCTAAAGCTTAAAAAAAAAAAAAAACCTATACCACTAAGTGAAGTATATAGGAACTTATGAAAATTTGGACAGAAAGTTTCTTGAATTATAACATTTTTTTCTAATCCTTGTTGCCCAACATTAAAATGATGATAAACTTACCATGGGCTGTAATGGGTGTATTTATCATTACCAAGACTTGGACTGTCATTTAATACTAAACCGTATGTTACTAGTGATTTTACTAAAGCCAGATGGGAATGTGTAATAGAAAAAAATAATTGGGGAGTTTTATTCAGAGTATTATACAATAAATGTTTGGTTAAATCAAAACTCTTGAATCTTCAGTTCTAAGTCTAAAGCTACAGAAATTTTTAAAAACTGAGGTGGTTTTGTAGTTTCATTTAATACTTAAAAAAAACCTCAAACCTGTTTTTCTTTCTTTTTTTTTTTTTTAGTCGCTAAGAAATTATTTTTCTGAATCTATTTTAGAGTATGTTCAAGACTCGCAATCTTTCACTTCTTCATTTTCACGGTAATATTGGAGACTGTCTCATAATAGGTACTTAATACTTGTTGGATGAGTGAATTAGTAATGAAGTTTATCTCTGAGCATCAGTTTTAAATCTGAAAACAATGTAAAGACTTTTATCAAGGCATAGCAGTAACTCATTTATCCCGAACTTGGTTTGGAACTTGTAACTGCGCTTTAAAGAAATTCAGGAAATAAGCAGAAGCCTGAACAACTAAAATATAGATTTGATAATCCTTTCAAAGTGTGTGTATTAGGCAAAATTCTGACAAACGTGTTGCAAGCAGCAGCAAATTTGAAGGGATTGGAGGCTGCTAGAATCAAATTCTCATTGATACTTGCAAAAATTGACAGCAGACACACCAAAGCCTGGGATCAGAAGAAAAACTCTTTAAAGCCAGCAACTCTTAAAAAGGAACCCTGAGGACATATAGTTTAGGAGCTTGAGTGTTGTACAACACAGTAATTATTAGTCAACATATTTAATTGAATGTTTTTAAATATTGAAATATTCCCACTTAAAATCTCCATGCCAAACAATGTAAGTTTTGGTGTTTAAATAGATAAGGGTGAATTATCTGAAAAATTCATTTCTTTGGAACACCAGTTGTCTCAAGAATACCAAGTAAATGAGGCATTAACTTTTTGTTTTAAACTAGGTCATGTACTACTTTCTCAAATAAATGGTTAATATGAGTTCTTTGAATTATTTGAAAAATCAGGACAATAAAAGAAACTTGTTTTTGCCATTTTAGGATATCTGTTGATAGCCGAGATTAAAGATTTATCTTGCAGAATAAAGTTCTTATTTAGATAAAATATTGTGAGAGCAGAAATTATCTTGTTCACTGTTGTGTCCATAGTGCTTTGCATAGATAGGTGCTCAGTAAGTGTGGAAGTTGAGTTAGTCTGTTAATAGCACACCAAAGCACTGCACCTGCGATTATTTTAGTCAGATTTTCTATGGACTGGAGACATATTTTTTGGGTTAGAAATTTGTGATCTAATTTTTAAAATATATCATTAATTGATGGTATGTATTACTATTGAACAAAATATTGGGATGTCTTTCTTGAAGACATTATCTTTTTAGAGCAGTTTTAAATTCACGACAAATTTGAATTCCATATGCTTTCTGGCCTGGTACATGCATACCCTCTCTCATTAGCAGCATCCCCTACCAGAGTGGTAAGTTTGTTACAATTGCTAAACCCGACATGGCTGCATCATTACCACTCAGAGTCCATGGTTTACATTAGGGTTCATTCTTCGTGTCTTTTTTTTTTAATACAGAAACTATTCCACAAATATTTACTAAATACCTTCTGGGAATGAGGCCTCTTGTGTTGAGTACTAAGAAAATGTAACGAATTAGTAATTGGGGGGAAAAAATCACCTGTGAGCCTGCCAACCATCCAAGTTTTTCTTTGATGTATTAAATTCCTTATATATAAACATTTTTCACTTCTGGTCATAATTCATATATCTCTTGTCTTTAGCAATGTTCTTAGTATATGACAAATTATCAAGATCCTGTATGTGCCAGAACAGTTCAAAGTCCCTTGGGCAAAAGTTGGTTCTTAAAGCTTACAGGAGTGTGGTGGGGAAAATGATCTATAATATGTGACATAATTTTTCTATTGGAGATATCAAGGCATAATGAGACTACAGGAAGGTATACCCAAGTTTCCTGGATAAATCAGGGGAAGCTTCTCATAGTAGTTGAGGCTTAGGCCAAAGCCTGAAGATTATGTAGGTATTTCTTGAGGAAAATGGTAAAAATGGGAGTAATGTTACTTGCAGAGTTTTTGTAAAGATTAAAAACATCAATTACAATATCTGGCATGTGAGGGGGAGGAGGATGGAGGATAGTCCAGGAAGCTATGTAGGTCAGCACTATCCAATAGAACTTTCTGTGATAATGGAAATTTTCTCTGCAGTATCCAGTATAATAGTCATTATCCATATATAGATAGGTAAGCACTTGAAATGTAGCTAGTCTGACTGAAGAACTGGTTTGTAAATTCAGTTTTATTTATATAGCTGCATGACTAGTTGCTATTATATGACTAGAAGCTACTATACTGTCAGAGTACCATGTAGTTTTATGTATACTTAATGATCATGAGTAGTGATGTCATGTTGATCTATGAGTAACACATTCTCTGAATATTGAAAAGTTAGAATTCTTTCAGGTCTTGATGTTGTACACAAAACCTTAATACCTCCATGCCTGTTTGATAAAGTCTGTAGAATGGTATCACTAGGTCAAGTCAAGAGGTAAGAATGGTTTTTGGGTTTTTAGAAAGCTCTGTCCTTTTATAGTACTAAGATAAATGATTGTTACTTTTTCTCATCTCCAATCATATATTATTACATTGTAATACTATATAATTATTATAATAAACATTATTTTATAAATGTTGTGTAAACATTTCCAGATATGTTTTACTGTGTTAGTAGATGCATTGTGGTAGGCTAAGTTTGTTTCAACTTGGACTAAGCAAAAATATACACTTTCTCAAGTGTTTCTGTGCATTTGCATTTCCTCTTATGTCAAATTTCATTTGCATATTTTGTGCTCATTTGTAAGGATTGTTATATATCTAATGTCAGTTTGTAAATGTGCATTATTTCAAATTACTGTTACCATAGTAGTTGCCTCTTCACAAATCTACATTCGGAAGCCAGTACAGGGGATAGTGTGAATAGTTGGTGGGATGTCC